TATGCCACACACTCTTGAAACTTTGCCTTTGCAAATGCTGTTCTCTGCCTAGAATATTCTTTTCACCCTTTTATCCTACACCAAATTTTCCTTAGTACTTTACACACAATTTAAGTCTTGATTCAATTAGTATCTCATCCAAAAAACCTTCCCAAGCCATCAGAGTTACAGTTAGGATACCTCTTTGCTATGTTTTTGCACACCTTATCATAGCATTTTCAAACCATATTTTAAGTTTTTGTTACTTAAAATTGTAAAGTCCTTGAGCACACCAATGTTATGTTTTTTTTTAAATACTATTAATACATAGCATAGTCTGACATAAATAAACTTAAAATTTTTTTAAGTGACTGAACAGGAGAACAATTAGGGAAAATCCTGGTAGGCTACTGTATTGAGTTTCTTCTATATGTTTAAGGTAGAGTCTGTGGCTTTTCTATTACCCAGAAGCTCAAAAAACACAACTCCATAATTCCTGACTTGAATACTACAAGGATGGCATTAAATTTACTTCCTTCAGGAAGATATTTAAATATAGAAAGTTGCTTGTATTCCCCAAAACAATTTTAACTGTCAAGTGATTTAAATAGAGGATAGATGATTTTGCCCAAAGAAGGCTCAATAATCAGTAGATATACAATCTTTCCTTAAGAGTAATCAGGAGAGATAAAAATGGGCAAATAAGGCTAATATAATTTGTTCATATGATCATTCATCATGAATAGAATGTCATTAAACATTAGAAGGTACAGAAATTATTGTCTTCATAGCATCTTTAAAGTTCATTTATCATATTAAAAAATTTTTAAATAACCATCTTCATTTCATCATTAAAACAGTACTTTTCTGAATGGATAAAGAAGATGTGGTATATATACACAATGGAATATTATGCAGCCATCAAAAGGAAGGAGATCTTGCCATTTGCAACGACGTAGATGGAACTGGAGGGTGTTATGCTGAGTGAAATAAGTCAGTCAGAGAAAGACATGTATCATATGACCTCACTGATATGAGGAATTCTTAATCTCAGGAAACAAACTGAGGGTTGCTGGAGTGGTGGGGGGTGGGAGGGATTGGGTGGCTGGGTGATAGACATCGGGGAGGGTATGTGCTATGGTGAGCACTGTGAATTGTACAAGACTGATGAATCACGGATCTGTACTTCTGAAACAAATAATGCAATATATGTTAAGAAAGAAAAGAAGAAGAAGAAGAAGATAGCAGGAGGGGAAGAATGAAGGGGAGTAAGTCGGAGGGGGAGATGAACCATTAGAGACGATGGACTCTGAAAAACAAACTGAGGGTTCTAGAGGGGAGGGGGGTGGGGGGATGGGTTAGCCTGGTGATGGGTATTAAAGAGGGCACGTTCTGCGTGGAGTACTGGGTGTTATGCACAAACAATGAATCATGGAACACTGCATCAAAAACTAATGATGTAATGTATGGTGGTTAACATAACAATAAAAAATTATTTAAAAAAAAACAGTACTTTCCTAAAATATTACATACAGAGTATATAGGATTAATTATCTTGTACCAAAATGATGGGCATTTGATTGACAATTTGTGCAGTTGTACCTTAAATTCAGCCTAGCTGTATTACTGTAGTATAATACACTCTTTATCTTTAAATCAGCAAAAGATGTTTGCTGTATCACACCAAAGCTTACTGAAACCATGTGTTTGGTCTCTATCTTCATTTTTAAAGTAGCTTTTAAATTGTAAAATATTAACTTAGCAAAGGTGTAGTCAAATGTGTTTTCAAGGCATGATTATTGCACTTATTTCATTATAAATCTTTTTTAAAATTGGAATTTGAAGCTAAAACCTCTCAAAAATCAATGTAACAGATCACATGTTAAAATCTATAGCAGCTGCTTACTTTGGTGTAACTTATATTTGAGATTGCCTCATCTGTTACATTCTTACTGGGTTTTTTTTTAAGTTTTTATTTTAATTCCAGTTAACATACAATGTTATATTAGTTTCAGGTGTACAATGTAGTGATTCAGCACTTCCATATGTCACTCTGTGCTAATCACAAGTGGACCCCTTAATCCCCATCACCTATTTAACCCATCCTCTCACCATCCTATTGGTTTTTTTGTTTTTTATTATTATGTTATGTTAATCACCATACATTAGTTTTTTATGTAGTGTTCCATGATTCATTATTTGCGTATACACCCAGTGCTCCATGCAGAATGTGCCCTCTTTAATACCTATCACCAGGCTAACCCATCCCCCCACCCAGAACCCTCAGTTTGTTTTTCAGAGTCCATTGTCTCTCATGGTTCATCTCCCCCTCCAATTTCCCCCCTTCATTCTTCCCCTCCTGCTATCTTCTTTTTTTTTTAACATATAATGTATTATTTGTTTCAGAGGTACAGATCTGTGATTCAACAGTCTTGCACAATTCACAGTGCTCACCATAGCACATACCCTCCCCAGTGTCTATCACCCAGCCACCCCATCCCTACCACCCCACACCACTCCAGCAACCCTCAGTTTGTTTCCTGAGATTAAGAATTCCTCATATCAGTGAGGTCATCCTATTGGTTTTGATAGTGATCTGATGTGTTTTTTTGTTTTGCTTTGTTTTTTATTTTTTACCAATCCTGAGAACAAAATCTGGTACAGTTTAGTCTAAATAGCTTATGATGTTTTAATAGCAGGAAATCCTGTTGCTGAATTTGTTAATATCATTTACTTCTACTAGGATTTTAATAGTAATTTTGCTCTTGTAAACTTAAGGTCAAGAGTATTTATTTGGGAATGTGTATGCAAAACCAAATTTGGAAGTAAATGAACTACAGCAAACTTTTAACAGAAATGCAACTTGAGAATTTAGAAATTTATCATTTTAATGACGCAAGAAATAAGCATTTCTCCTAAGAAGCCACCTGTAACACATTAGGTATAAATCATAGTTTCTCAAGTGCTGTTTTGGGACTTTTATGTTGCAATTCCAGATACATAAGTTAAGTTGATTAAGCAAGGGTATTGTTGCATTTGGGGTGAGCAAAAAAAATGTTGAAAGACAGAGCTTAAAATAATTTGGGGGAGAAACACTTTGGAATTTACACTTGATGTAGAGCAAATGTAGGGGGAAATAAAGTAATTAAGAATTTAATGTATAAATATCTACATAGCCCAGGATCATTAATTTACTGATCTTACTAGATTATTTTACAATTGTGGCATGAACAGATTCCCTTTTATTTAAAAATATAACAAAACAGCACCAAAAGTTGTAAATTAGAAGAAAAATTATATTTTTTAACATTAAATGCCCCACATGAAATAGAGATTTCAGCTTTAATCCTAGAGCCTCTTAAAACTTTTACTAAAAATCCTCATTATTTTTCAACATTTATAATGCTTATAAAGTATCAGTTACTATTCTAAGCATTTTATAAATATGATGTCATTAAATCCTTATAATAAAGTCATGAAGTAGGTACTATTATTCTCATTTTACAAATAAGGAAACAAATTGCTTTTGCCTGCGTAAAACCTACAACATATTGAAGTTAAGTAACTTGCCCCAGCTCACCAACATAGTAAATGGCAGAACCAGACTTGAACCCAGACAATTGCTCCAAAGACTATCATTTTATTCACTATATGCTATGCTGCTTCCCCAATGCCTAATATTTAACCTTCAGAAGATTAACTAGTGTCAAGTGTAGAACTAAACTAAAATGGAGTCGTTTATGTCAAGGACAAAATGGGAAGGGTCAATGCAGGTGCATAAAACAAACAACCTAACCTTATAGGAATTTACAGCTCTTCTTGGAAATCAGCAGAGGCTGATTTACCCAGCCTCTCCAAACTCCAAGTCTGTTTATACCACCTCTGGACTTCCTTGTTCCCCTGACTCACCTAACCCGATCCAAGTAAGAAAACCACTAGCTAATGAATCGTTGAACACTACATCAAAAACTAATGATATACTATATATTGGCTAATTGAACATAATAAATAAATTTTAAAAAGAAAACCACTAGGCAACCAATCGGCTGAAAAAGTCAAATAATTTCTGCATTTATCTCATAAAAATCTCTTAGTCTGTGAGCAACTTTGATTTCATTGCTTCTGTATCCTTCAGTTCCTGGCTTGCAGGTCAAAAGCCTTGCAATGAACTCATCTTTATGCTTTGTTTTATTCAGTAGGCAAAGTTTGGCTTTTGCACAGGAAATAATAATGTATTTTGAAATTTTTTAATTGAATGAAATATCAAAGAATATAAAAGCTAAGGGCATTTCATTCTACTAAAACTTCCCATAAATATTTGAATTCCTCAAGATCTTCAACAAATTAAAATAGAGATTTTATGTGAACACCTTCAGTGAGAGAGAACTCATATTGAGTTAGACAATTTTATTTTCAGAAATTAATTTTTTCCTGAAATCTACCTCCTTAGAGCTTTTATTCTATTTCTATCCTATTTTCTAAAGCCACATGAAATTAACCTCAGTTTTTTCACTCTGTTACTTTTCAAATATGTGAAGAAACTGTGTTTAAAATGTGTTCTTCATTTGTACTTTTTCTCCTCCGGATCTGCTCCAATCTGTCTTGTATCTTTTAAAGTACACCATTCCTAAACTGATTCCACAGTCAAGGAGTTTCTTGACTATAACAGAGTAGCAACATTACCATTCATTCTAAATCCTGTTGCTATAGATGAATATTGACTTGTTTGTTTATTTATTTATTTATTATTAGGTTCCATGCCTAGCATGGAGCTCAATGCGGGCTTGAAGTTACGACCCTGAGATCAGTACCTCAGCTGAGATTAAGAACCAGCTGCTTAACTGACTGAGTCACCCAGGTGCCCCATATTTTTATTTATTTACATAATCTCTATGCCCAATGTGGGGCTCAAACTCATGACCCTGAAAACAAGGGTCATATGATCTACTGACTGAGGCAGCCTGGAGTCCTGACTTTTTTAGACAGCAAAAATTTACAGACTTGCATCAGGCTACCGCCGCCGCCGCTGCTCGAGCGTGTTCCGTGAGGCCCGCGCCGGCGCCGCCTCGGCCATGATGATCCACGGCTTCCAGAGCAGCCACCAGGACTTCTCCTTCGGGCCCTGGAAGCTGACAGCGTCCAAGACCCACATCATGAAGTCCGTGGTTGTGGAGAAGTTAGCCGATGAATTACATATGCCATCTCTCCCTGAAATGATGTTTGGAGACAACGTTTTAAGAATCCAGCATGGCTCTGGCTTTGGGATTGAGTTCAATGCTACAGATGCATTAAGATGTGTTAACAACTATCAAGGAATGCTTAAAGTAGCCTGTGCTAAAGAGTGGCAGGAAAGCAGGACGGAGGGCGAACACTCCAAAGAAGTTATTAAACCATACGATTGGACCTATACAACAGATTATAAGGGAACATTACTTGGAGAATCACTTAAGGTAAAGGTTGTACCTACAACAGATCATATAGACACAGAGAAATTGAAAGCTAGAGAACAGATTAAATTTTTTGAAGAAGTTCTCCTGTTTGAGGATGAACTTCATGATCATGGAGTTTCAAGCCTGAGTGTGAAAATTAGAGTAATGCCTTCTAGCTTTTTCCTGCTGTTGCGATTTTTCTTGAGAATCGATGGGGTGCTTATCAGAATGAATGACACAAGACTTTACCCCGAGGCCGACAAGACCTACATGTTACGAGAATATACATCACGAGAGAGCAAAATTGCTAATTTAATGCATGTTTCACCTTCCCTCTTCACGGAACCTAATGAAATATCACAGTATTTACCGATAAAGGAAGCAGTTTGCGAGAAGCTACTATTTCCAGAAAGAATTGATCCTGACCCTGCAGACTCACAAGAAAGTACACCTGTGGAATAGAATGTGATACAACATATACTCACCATGGAATCTGACTGGAGACCTTAGCTATTTGGAGGGGGTATTTTTATTATGAGAATTAATTGCCTTGTTTATGTGCAGATTTTCTGTAGCCTTAAAAAAAATATTGTTGCAGGCAGGTTCCACTCAGCTGCTTTTGTACTATCTTCAAATTCATATTCCAGATTTATATTTTCTGGAGTTAAATTTGGATTTCTAAATTGTTACAAAGTGGGATCTCACTAGTAGTGATGTGTGTATGTCTCATGAGCAGTGGGCATAATCTGCATGCATCATGAAACACCGTCTTCTACCATGAGGAGGTTAATGTAAATCACAGAATCACAGCACCTTGTGACTTTCACGGGATTCCTGATCGTGCATGTTAATGTACTAGCTCTTTACTTTGGGCTTTTTGATGTTTATTTGTACTTCTGGAGAGTCGTGAGTTGCCTTTTAGGAAATTGGTGTCCTACTTTAATGATCTTTACCCACAAATTAAAGAAAAAAATATCTCCCCTCTAAATTTAAATTGGCTTTTGAAGCCTTTGAGAAAATTTCAGACACAGAACTAAATAATCTAGGGTTTTGGGAAACTGAAGGTGTTCTATCCGTGGACACACCTGAACATGGTTTGCCAGTCACAGGTAGGATGTCAGAGCTGTCCTTCCTCCATCTTTACTATAGATGAATATTGACTTGTTTGTTTATTTATTTATTTATTATTAGGTTCCATGCCTAGCATGGAGCTCAATGCGGGCTTGAAGTTACGACCCTGAGATCAGTACCTCAGCTGAGATTAAGAACCAGCTGCTTAACTGACTGAGTCACCCAGGTGCCCCATATTTTTATTTATTTACATAATCTCTATGCCCAATGTGGGGCTCAAACTCATGACCCTGAAAACAAGGGTCATATGATCTACTGACTGAGGCAGCCTGGAGTCCTGACTTTTTTAGACAGCAAAAATTTACAGACTTGCATCAGGCTACCGCCGCCGCCGCTGCTCGAGCGTGTTCCGTGAGGCCCGCGCCGGCGCCGCCTCGGCCATGATGATCCACGGCTTCCAGAGCAGCCACCAGGACTTCTCCTTCGGGCCCTGGAAGCTGACAGCGTCCAAGACCCACATCATGAAGTCCGTGGTTGTGGAGAAGTTAGCCGATGAATTACATATGCCATCTCTCCCTGAAATGATGTTTGGAGACAACGTTTTAAGAATCCAGCATGGCTCTGGCTTTGGGATTGAGTTCAATGCTACAGATGCATTAAGATGTGTTAACAACTATCAAGGAATGCTTAAAGTAGCCTGTGCTAAAGAGTGGCAGGAAAGCAGGACGGAGGGCGAACACTCCAAAGAAGTTATTAAACCATACGATTGGACCTATACAACAGATTATAAGGGAACATTACTTGGAGAATCACTTAAGGTAAAGGTTGTACCTACAACAGATCATATAGACACAGAGAAATTGAAAGCTAGAGAACAGATTAAATTTTTTGAAGAAGTTCTCCTGTTTGAGGATGAACTTCATGATCATGGAGTTTCAAGCCTGAGTGTGAAAATTAGAGTAATGCCTTCTAGCTTTTTCCTGCTGTTGCGATTTTTCTTGAGAATCGATGGGGTGCTTATCAGAATGAATGACACAAGACTTTACCCCGAGGCCGACAAGACCTACATGTTACGAGAATATACATCACGAGAGAGCAAAATTGCTAATTTAATGCATGTTTCACCTTCCCTCTTCACGGAACCTAATGAAATATCACAGTATTTACCGATAAAGGAAGCAGTTTGCGAGAAGCTACTATTTCCAGAAAGAATTGATCCTGACCCTGCAGACTCACAAGAAAGTACACCTGTGGAATAGAATGTGATACAACATATACTCACCATGGAATCTGACTGGAGACCTTAGCTATTTGGAGGGGGTATTTTTATTATGAGAATTAATTGCCTTGTTTATGTGCAGATTTTCTGTAGCCTTAAAAAAAATATTGTTGCAGGCAGGTTCCACTCAGCTGCTTTTGTACTATCTTCAAATTCATATTCCAGATTTATATTTTCTGGAGTTAAATTTGGATTTCTAAATTGTTACAAAGTGGGATCTCACTAGTAGTGATGTGTGTATGTCTCATGAGCAGTGGGCATAATCTGCATGCATCATGAAACACCGTCTTCTACCATGAGGAGGTTAATGTAAATCACAGAATCACAGCACCTTGTGACTTTCACGGGATTCCTGATCGTGCATGTTAATGTACTAGCTCTTTACTTTGGGCTTTTTGATGTTTATTTGTACTTCTGGAGAGTCGTGAGTTGCCTTTTAGGAAATTGGTGTCCTACTTTATCAATGCTACAGATGCATTAAGATGTGTTAACAACTATCAAGGAATGCTTAAAGTAGCCTGTGCTAAAGAGTGGCAGGAAAGCAGGACGGAGGGCGAACACTCCAAAGAAGTTATTAAACCATACGATTGGACCTATACAACAGATTATAAGGGAACATTACTTGGAGAATCACTTAAGGTAAAGGTTGTACCTACAACAGATCATATAGACACAGAGAAATTGAAAGCTAGAGAACAGATTAAATTTTTTGAAGAAGTTCTCCTGTTTGAGGATGAACTTCATGATCATGGAGTTTCAAGCCTGAGTGTGAAAATTAGAGTAATGCCTTCTAGCTTTTTCCTGCTGTTGCGATTTTTCTTGAGAATCGATGGGGTGCTTATCAGAATGAATGACACAAGACTTTACCCCGAGGCCGACAAGACCTACATGTTACGAGAATATACATCACGAGAGAGCAAAATTGCTAATTTAATGCATGTTTCACCTTCCCTCTTCACGGAACCTAATGAAATATCACAGTATTTACCGATAAAGGAAGCAGTTTGCGAGAAGCTACTATTTCCAGAAAGAATTGATCCTGACCCTGCAGACTCACAAGAAAGTACACCTGTGGAATAGAATGTGATACAACATATACTCACCATGGAATCTGACTGGAGACCTTAGCTATTTGGAGGGGGTATTTTTATTATGAGAATTAATTGCCTTGTTTATGTGCAGATTTTCTGTAGCCTTAAAAAAAATATTGTTGCAGGCAGGTTCCACTCAGCTGCTTTTGTACTATCTTCAAATTCATATTCCAGATTTATATTTTCTGGAGTTAAATTTGGATTTCTAAATTGTTACAAAGTGGGATCTCACTAGTAGTGATGTGTGTATGTCTCATGAGCAGTGGGCATAATCTGCATGCATCATGAAACACCGTCTTCTACCATGAGGAGGTTAATGTAAATCACAGAATCACAGCACCTTGTGACTTTCACGGGATTCCTGATCGTGCATGTTAATGTACTAGCTCTTTACTTTGGGCTTTTTGATGTTTATTTGTACTTCTGGAGAGTCGTGAGTTGCCTTTTAGGAAATTGGTGTCCTACTTTAATGATCTTTACCCACAAATTAAAGAAAAAAATATCTCCCCTCTAAATTTAAATTGGCTTTTGAAGCCTTTGAGAAAATTTCAGACACAGAACTAAATAATCTAGGGTTTTGGGAAACTGAAGGTGTTCTATCCGTGGACACACCTGAACATGGTTTGCCAGTCACAGGTAGGATGTCAGAGCTGTCCTTCCTCCATCTTTAGGTGCTTTTTCTTATGTGTGGTTCTACTTGTACTGATGTTTTTTACTTCATTTTCCATGCAACCTTGGAATGAATAAATCCGTTGAATATTGAATTTGTATTGTTGTCTAGCTAATTTTATTAGCTAAATTTTGTCACAAGTGATTTTGGTATTTGTTTGCCTTCTGCTACATCACCTGCAAGGTATAGGAAATCAGGATTTTGTTGGCTTTAAGAAAATACATGGCATGTTCACTGTATATTAAATATACCTGTGTTTAATGTTTTCTCTTAGGACAGAAAAGTGTATATATTGTGCTCAGCCTTCTGTTGTATTTTATTTGCGTTGTGGATTTGAACAGAATAGACTCTTTATTCATACAAGCTAAAAGAAATGAAAAACTTGTAAGAATATTCATTAGTTGAAGTTTCTGGGCAACATCATTATATATATTCTTAACTTGAATCAGTTGTCTTAGTCTCTGAGTCGGTTTAGATGACTTATTTTCAGAATCTATTGCTAAAAATTGTGGGAAATTAAAAGAATTGACCTTTTTTATAGAGGGTGGGAAGTTGATAGGATGAGTGTACTTCTGGAAGCCCCTTTAGTTTATTTCTGTGGAGAATACCCAGAAAACCTGTATTTGCCCATTGCTAAATAAGACATATGCCATTTTATATTTATTTGTTCCAAGTGTCTTTTTGTAAGAAAAGAATAAACCATAAGGAATTCCTGATCTAAAAAAAAAAATTTACAGACTTGCATCAAGTTTATCATAAAATAAAGCCTATAAGATTTTTTCACATATATGCTATACCTAGCAAACATAATTTACTTGTGCAATTCATTTTTGAGCATAAATTTAAATTTAGCCTAATGAAATTGAATCTTACTGAAGATCAGTCTATCATTCCAATCCATTGAGATCTTTTAAAATCCCAATTGTCTTATTTAACAAATTAGCTATCACTTCTTGTTTGTCTCCATCGATCTTCATTGGGACGCTATCAATATTTATCCAAGATAGTCATTTAAATACCAAACACAAAAGAAACAAAGCCCTACTCTGACTTTTAAAAAAATTATTTACTGGAGTGCCTGGGTGGCTCAGTCATTAAGCACCTGCCTTCGGCTGGGGTTGTGATCCCAGGGTCCTGAGATTGGGCCCCGTGTCAGACTCCCTGCTCTGCAGGAGGCCTGCTTCTCACTCTCCCACTCCCTCTGCTTGTGTTCCCTCTCTTGCTGTGTCTCTTTCTGTCAAATAAATAAAATATTAAAAAGTAAATAAAATTATTTATTAAATGACAGTTTGTAACAGTTTAAGATGTGTGAAATTATTACAAAGATAGTACAGAGACATATATCCCATATCCAGTTTTCCTATTATTAATATCTTACATTATTAGTATGATATATTGTCAAAATTAATGAAACAATATTGATATATTACTATTAAGTAAAGTCCATAGTTTATTCAGATTTCCCCCATTTTCCCTTAATGTCCTTTTCTGTTCCAGGATCTCAACCAGGATACCACATTATATTTAGTACTCATGTATCTTTAGGCTACTCTCAGCTGTGACAATTTCTCAGACTTTGTTTAGTTTTTGTTAATATTTCTTTTTTTATTATTATGTTCAATTAGCCAACATATAATACATCATTAGTTTTTTTTTCAAAGATTTATTTATTTGAGAGAGAGAGAATGAGAGATAGAGAGCAGGAGAGGGAAGAGGGTCAGAGGGAGAAGCAGACTCCCTGCTGAGCAGGGAGCCCGATGTGGGACTCGATCCTGGGACTCCAGGATCATGACCTGAGCCGAAGGCAGTCGCTTAACCAACTGAGCCACCCAGGCGCCCATCATTAGTTTTTGATGTAATGTTTAACGAGACTTTGTTTTTAATGACCTTGACAGTTTTGAAGAATACTGGCCAGGTATTTCTGTGAAATTTACCTGATGTTTTTGGCATGAATAGACTGAAGTCGTGGGTTTTGGGGAGGAAGGCCACAGAAGTAAAATACCATTCTCATCAAACCTTATCAATATGACTACTATCAATACTATCAATATGACTTTTCATTGTTGATGTTAGCCTTAGTCACTTGGCTTGAGCTAGCATTTGCCAGTATTCTCCACTATAAAATCACACATTCTCTCTCTCTCTCTGTCTCTCTTTTTTAAAGATTTTATTTATTTATTTGTCAGAGAGAGAGCACAAGCAGGGAGAGTGGCAGGCAGAGGGAGAAGCAGGCTCCCCGCTGAACAAGGAGCCCAATGCAGGACTTGATCCCCAGGACCCTGGGATCATGACCAGAGCCAAAGGCAGATGTTCAACCGAGTGAGCCACCCAGGCGTCCCTCACCTTCCCTCTTAAAAAAAAAAAAAAATCTAGGGGCGTCTGCCCCTAGATACCCTTCCTAATGTCCATCTCCCCTCCAGCAACCTTCAGTTTGTTTCCTAAGATTAAGAGTCTTTTATGGTTTGTCTCCCTCTCTGGTTCATCTTGTTTCATTTTTTCCTCTCTTCCCCTATGATCTTCTGCCTTGTTTCTTAAATTCCACATATCAGTGAGATCATATGACAATTGTCTTTCTCTGATTGACTTACTTTGCCTAACATTACCCTCTAGTTCCATCCACATCGTTGCAAATGGCAAGATTTCATTTTTTTAATGGCTGTGTAATATTCCATTGTATACATACACCACATCTTTATCCATTCATCTATCGATCTGGGCTCTTTCCAGCTTTCCTTTAAAAGTAGATCATCTATGTAAGTTATTTGGAATCCTGCATGCAATACTTGTCTATTCTCTCCCATGTATTCATTTATTTAATCATTTATTTATATCAGTATGGGTTTAAGGATGTTTATTTTAGACTTTGAGTTATAATCCAATGCTAAGTCATTTATTTTGTTCAACTTGTTCCAGCTTTGGCTTTTTTTTAAAGATTCTATTTATTTACTTGACAGAGAGAGAGCACAGCAAGGGGAGCAGCAGAGGGAGAGCGAGAACCAGGCTCTCCGCTGAGCGGGAAACCCAATGCGAGGCTGATCCCAGGACCCTGAGATCATGACCTGAGCCAAAGGCAGACGCTTAACTGACTGACCCACCCAGGTGCCCTTCCAGCTTTGGCTTTTGTGAGTCTTTCAGAGGGCTACATAAGCCCTTCAACATATCCCCCTCATTATGGGTGAGTGTTTGAGCACTTTCTTATTTTCTGGCAGTACTCTTTTTTTTTTTTTTTTTTTTTTAAGTAGGCTCTATACCCAACATGGAGCTCAAACTCCCGAACCTGAGATCAAGAGTTGCACACTCCACTGACTGAGCCAGCCAGGTGCCCCTCTGGCACTACTTTCTCTGGCTCATACTGTGTACTTCTTGCCCCAGTTATAGAATTAGCCATCTCTCTAAGGCTTATCATTAGTTTTTTAATGACCAAAAGACTTCCTCAAGTTTAAAACACACCTATAACTCTTACTTCCTGAGTATTGTTTTTAATATAGTTCAGTACTCATTTTACTGCTTAATTATCAAGTCAACATGGCTATGTTATCCACTAAATGTTGCCAAAAGCGATTGGGTCCAGAGAGTGTGTGAGCTGAAATCCAGACACAAAATATAATGGTTTCCTTATTCTAATAAAGATCTATTAACACTTTCTAATGACATTATCCAAAGAAGAGAAGTGGTTTAGTTGATATGACTTCTTACTGAGCACAGACTATATGCAAGTATGACTAAAAAGGATTTTTTTTTTAAGATTTTATTTATTTGAGAGAGAAAGAGAGAGCATGAACTGGGGAGGGGGCAAAGGGAGAGGGACAAACATACTCCCCACTGAGCAGAGAGCCTGATGTGGGCTCAATCCCAGAACTCTGGGATCATGACCTGAGCTGAAGGCAGACAGTTAACCAAGTGAACCACCCAGGCACCACTGACTGAAAAGGATTTAAAGAATGAAGCGTCACAACCTGAAAATAAGTCTAATTAAGTAAAGCTATTAAAGATGCAAATAAAATCCTAGCATCCAGAAAGGAAGGGCAATATGTAGCAAACTATTTGTAATTATCCCTCTCTATCCTGGGTGGATACTTATTAGACTGATTGTGAGCCAACAATAAGTTGTATAACCTCAGAAAGACAGAGCTTTTAGAGAAGACTTACAGAATACTCATGAAAATGATGAAAGGGTTGGGAAATAGGAATTAATAGTAAAGGTTAAGGAAAACTATATTACTTTAGAGAAAAGACATATACAGGATTATTTAACAGTGCTCCTAAAGATTAAGGTACCTCTTTCAGTGCCTAAAAGAGATTTAGAGATTACTGAAATA